TTTTATGTATATTTTATCTAAAAATAAAAATAAATAATAATAATAATAACATATTTTATCTATTTTGAAAATTTGTAAATGGAAGAGAAGTATCGGATATTTCTGTTATAACAAACGTATTATTATAAATCGCGGACATTAAGATGGAAACGTGTATAAATTCAAAATTAACTGGATTAATCTAAAAATGATATTTAAGTTGTTATATTTATTCACATTTTTTGCAATTTTGAAGAATTGAGGCAAAAAATAATTTGCAACTAAAACAATCAACTATTATTGAAAAATTTAGATGTGAGCATCTAAAGAATATCTGTAAGAAATATCTAGAATAGGTTTCTTCTCGGCGTTGGCTAACTTTATTCGTAAATTAGCCAAGCTTATATCTCGATTTACGTTCTGGTCATTATACTCTAAAGAAAAAAAAAAAAGAAGCTATGATCTACCGGATAACTTTATACGACAAATTAATTGGAAATAGTATGGCAAATTGAATACTTAAAAATTGCAATGTTTTGTCTCTTAAACTATCAATTGGTCATTATTTTGTCGAAATACTGCTAGATTATTTTTAGTCGGTACAAAATAATGTTATTTTTTCCAATTTGCGTATTTTATTAGAGATACGTTTCGCGATGGAATTCCCTATGGAATTTCACCGCGTGTTCTAATTTCAACGCGAGAAGCATTGATCGCGTCAATGAAACGTCACGATTTTTGGCGATTACAACTCGCGAGGCGCCTGTTTGTCCTGTCGATCGCATTCTCTCTCACGCGCAATCCGACGGGAGTAAGCCCTACCCATCGTTCGATCGACGGATATATCCGTCACTGACAAATCCGCCTGTCTGTGAGAGTTTTACCGCTGTACAGTTGCGGATATAAATCCCGCGTCTGCGGGGGTAAGCCATTTCGACATAGAAGCTCGCCCGTGCTAGCCACTTCGAAAACACAGGACCGCCAGTGATCAACTTCATATCCACCCACGCGGTGGATAACTTCCGTTTCCGTGTTTCGATTTCGATTTCCCCCAGCGGCATGTCTCCCGGCTGCATCGAATATATTTTCCATCGCGAAAAAGACATCGGGGGATGATACGAAGATAGAACGGCGCTTGTATTCAACAGCGAAGGTTAATTCATACAAAAACTGATCGCAATATTTGCGGACTGTTTAATCGTCGCATATAGATGTCAATAAAAATCAACGTAACAAATAGACATACGTTTATGGAACAATACAAATTTTACTGTTAGATTCAAAACATTAAAAAGATTTGAGAACTTTTTTAGAGATATAGAGATAGAAAATATTTAATAGAATTTTTTTTTCATAGAGAGAGGAGGAAGCTATATTTATTAATTATTATAATGCTTATAAATATAATGACACGATAATTACTTTTATTTTTATTTCAAAGAAATTGAAATAACGTTAGAATGAATTGGAATAGATCGTTATGTAAAATTCTTCTATAATTCAAATTAAAAAGGAAAACTTCTTGATTCGTGAGGACGAAATTGAAAAATCAGGAAACGAATTCGAATAAAAGGCAAGCAGCGCAGTGAGAAAATGCACGAGAAAGGCATGGTGAATGAGCAACGATCGTTCATCGAACTATCGATAGATCTCGAAAGTGGTCCAGGAAGGATCAGCCGGTAACTCCAATGGCGGTCGCGAGATTTGGCTCTCAACTTTATTCCGATTCCATGGTCTGCAGGCTTTGAGATAGCCAGAATTTATCCAGCACAGCCATTAGAGGTATCCAATTTCTTCCGTTCGCTTCTTCCGTTCTTCTTCCTTTCTTCCTTCTTTCCTCTTTCCTTTTCATGTCTCTCTCTCTCTGCTCTTTCTCCCTCTTTTAAACAATAGTGTACCTAGAAAATCGATTGTGGCGAGGGATAAAATGGATTTCGGCGACTCGTAGCTGATCGAGAAAACCCCCACAACACAGATACATATATACAGGATATTAGTTATATGTATTTCTTGGCGAAATTAAAATCAAATTTCATTTTATTTTAAGAACAATGTCTCTTTTTGCAACTTTATAATTTTCAACATTAAATATGCAAGCAACTAAAATCTCAAATCAATATTTCGATAGAATAAGATATTTACATGAAATTAAATGAAAGGGCCATTATTTGTATCTATAAAAAGTTGTATGTTTTAATTTATTTTTATATATTTATAATATTTTTAAATTTTTATTTGTTTATAATTTCAAAATTGTTTATGTCTTGATGTTAAAATAAATGGCATTCTTAATTTAGCTTCTAATATTTTTATATGAAACAGGATATCATGTATATATATTGCTTTGGAAGTTGATTATTGTTTTGCGAGTATATATCCAAACCATACCGTGAAAGTCAACGTGTAGGCCACGTGATGTTATTTATCGCGCGAAAGCTGTATCAGAAATGTCTTCGAATAGAAGTCGTGCAGTCCATAAATTTCAAGGCGCAGCAGTTTAAAGCACACAATGACGATTCTGGTTATTGTCTTCTTCTGCTGTGAATGGCGCAGAACTGTATTCTCGCTTTTATATGTACGTGTATCTCGGGTATTTCGTATATACGAAATATTTCGGAACAATGTAATTTGTTGGTGTGAGGGGGTTTATATTCCTGAGACAATATACGCGCGCGTTTTCTTTATTAAAAGTAATTAATTTATTCGTCTATAGTAATTTAAACGTTACTCGTCGCATTAATAGATGAGACAACTCAACTTCAGTTTACGAAAGACTACACTTTGTGTCGTCTAAGAGACTTTCAATTTTGATAAATATTTATGCACCAACGTGCTTACATATGGAGTACGTCGCACAGATACACACTTGCTTTGTCAGAAAACTACTTCCGTGATGCGGATTATCCTGAGCACCGATTAGACAGCGCACTAAGATAATAATCTTTGGACACTCCAAGTACCCTTCTCGGCTATATCTGCTGATTTATCTCTCGTCAGCGTGTTTTGATTATGTACCGCATCGGATGTGGAGCAATTGAGGATTAGAATAGCAGGCGGAACGAACATAACAATTTGGATTTAGCTATTGCAGTTTTGAATCGAACTTCTGAGATCGCCGAGACGATCGTGATTCGAAAGTCGGGGATTTATTCTGAAGATGAGTTAGATTACAGATCTTGAGACGGATTATCATTCTATCGCAAAAGGAAGATGCCTCAGATTAAGATAGTATGTTTAGAAGATTATAAATCAGCACCTTTCTATGTCTTTATAATTCTTTCTGTCCATATATATGATAGCATGCGTATTTATACATATTTATTAAAAAATAACAACTTGAAAGATTTAACGATGCTTTAGCTCAGGTTACTTTACGTAGTTCTTACAAGCAAAATAATTAATTAAAAATATTGTTCTTGTACTATTTTATCATCATTTCTTTTTACAAAATTTTATATATACATATAAATGAAGGAAATTTTTATTTTAATATACATTATTAATTAAGTATTAATTAAAAATACGAAATAAAATTAACACTCTCTCTCACACACCATTTTACTTTACAATTTTTTTTGAGAGTTATAACCATTCTAGTTACAGAAATGTTTTTCTTTTTACAATTACTAATATATTATGTATATTGTTTGGAATATTCTGAGAATATAACAAATGCTAGAGAACATATTTATGAAAGAATTAAAAAATTTCGGTTTTTTATTATACTAATACATACTGTACATATTCTTTAACAACTTCAGCTTTTATTATTAATGTAATTTTTAGTTGGTGTATAAACACATACATACACACATGCACAGTATGTTACTGCTATTACATACAACGCTGGTTTTACGCAATGCTAAATATTCACATTGTATTAAATATTTGCTGATGTAAAATATAAATTTGTGTCAATAATATGTATACATATGTCGTGGCAAAATGCGCGTGTTTTAAGATAAAATATTTATGCGTATTTGCATGCGAGATATGCATTTCATTATGCCAACATTAAACGAAGCGTGAAAGGTACGAAACCTCAGTATTGAAATGTTGCGGAAAATATTTTCTTTGAAAATTCACAAACAGCACAATATTCTACAATCGCATAATATTGAAACATTTAAAATTATTTATCTACAGAATTACGATAATTAGCCAACCGAGATTGGGTAAAAAAAATTTATCACGACTCTATACCACAGGTGATAGTTTTTACGATTGCATTTTCTACTTGGCCAAAAGATCACACAGATAAATACCTTATGCATCTGACAAAAATTTTCCGCCAAATTTTGTCCAGTTCTCATTCGACTCACGTTCGGTTTCTCCGTCATGTTTGCAGGTCGACCTGCGGCATCTTCTACAGACCGAGGATTCGAATAAAATCGATGTCGGGATCGACCTGACCGATTATTATATCTCCGTCGAGTGGGACATCATAAAAGTGCCTGCCGTGAGGAACGAGGCGTTCTACATATGCTGCGAGGAGCCCTACCCCGACATCGTGTTCAACATCACCCTGCGCCGCAAGACCCTCTTCTACACGGTGAATCTGATAATACCGTGCGTGGGCATATCCTTCCTGTCGGTGTTGGTGTTCTACCTGCCGAGCGACAGCGGCGAGAAGGTCTCGCTGTCGATCTCGATATTACTATCGTTGACGGTGTTTTTCCTGCTGCTGGCCGAGATAATACCGCCCACGTCGTTGACGGTGCCGCTTCTGGGCAAGTACCTGCTCTTCACGATGGTGCTGGTGACGCTGTCGGTGGTCGTCACGATAGCCGTGCTGAACGTCAACTTTCGCTCGCCCGTGACCCACCGCATGTCCAACTGGGTGCGGGTGGTGTTCATCCAGGTGCTGCCGCGGTTTCTCCTCATTCAGCGGCCGAAGAAGGAAGACGACGACGACGAGGACGAGGGTAGAAACGGCGCCGGTCGTGGCGCGGACGATGACGCCGACGACGACGGCGCCGACGACGAGGACGACGACGATGACGACGACGACGAGGACGATGTCGAGGCGGCAAACGGCAAGCCGCCCGAGGGCATCCTCACCGATGTGTTCCATGTACCAGAGACTGATAAGTACGATACGTACTACGGCAAGAGGTTCAGCGGAGAGTACGAGGTACCGCCGCACGGTCTGCCACCGCCGGCTACGAGGTACGACCTCGGCGCCGTCGGCACCGTCGCACCTTGCTTCGAGGAGCCCCTACCCTCGCTGCCACTGCCGGGGGCGGACGACGATCTCTTCGGGCCGGCTAGCCCCGGATATGCTAACGAGGACGTCAGCCCCACCTTCGAGAAGCCGTTGGTACGCGAGATCGAGAAGACTATCGACGACGCTCGCTTCATCGCTCAGCACGCCAAGAACAAGGACAAATTCGAGAGCGTGAGTATTATTATTATTTTTATATTGACGGGAGAAATTAACGCTAGAAGTGATATTTTTATATGCTTGTTATCACCGCGGATTTCATCTTCGATTTTTATCGACGATTTAAGATGATTGCATCGAGATGCAAGTATTTGTTTGTCGAAAGCAATCCACAATGATAATCTTTAAATCGAGAATAATTCGAGAAAAATATCTCCGCATCTTCGATCATTACTTCTTGTTTTGTAGAATCTCGTTTCTTTAAAAATAAGCTGCTTACGAGAAATACCCGCCAATCAAAAGTCATTAATGGAATAAAACTTTGTGGATATATTCGTTGTCCCAAGACACATGAATCGTAAAATACACTCCATTCATTCCCTATCGTCTTTTATAGCTATGACGTCTGATCTTAAAACCAAACGCCCACTTATTTATGTAACTTTTAAACTTTATGCGACAGAGAAAAAATGTTTATTCGTGGTATAAAAGTTTATTAGAATTAACAAATTTGCTTTATAAATATCGCAATATGCTTTAAATACCATATAGTTAACATAAATATTTAACTATATTTTTAGTATTATCAGATTCTTTGTAGAAGAATCTCTTTGCAAGACAGCATACTTTTGATATTACTATAATACTTTATTTAATAATAAATTTTTTACAATTTTTTTTTTCATCTACCGTATAGTATCTAATTTATTATTTTGCCAGAATTTTCTAATCAGAAAGAAACATTTCGTGTAGATTTTCAAAATGATATCCGAAAGAACATTTTAGGTTTTTTTTAATTAAATTGTGTGTGTGTGTGTGTGTGTGTGTGTGTGTGTGTGTGTAAAAGAGCGCGAACGGAATTGAGATTATTTGATTTATATAATTTTTCCCAACAATTGATTCTCTCGTTACGAGTTTGTAAAACCACTGAAAGTAGCAGTTTGCAAAACATCGACTGTTTTGTAACGGTTGAACATACACAGGTGAGGCCACTCCGTTTTATACGAAACAAAAAAACGATGATTTATATATCACAAAGTTTAATGCTATCAAGAGAAAGGATTGTTGCACGTTTTATTATTGCGCAGCATGTCGGGGCGAGATGACAACGAAATAGTTTCTGATCGTAATATATTGTGTCATATACGGTACGCGGATGACAATAATGCCACGTGTATCATACGTAACTGCCTTTCAGATTTTGCACGCAACGCAATGAATCTCTCACTATTCGGTTCCGTAGTACTGTAAAAGAAGGATTATTGGCTTTCATTAAGAAGCACTTTCATCATAGAAAGAGTAATACGTATATTAGAATAGAATATTCATTTATTTATTTATTGCGTCTGAAATGATGTTAGATTTACATGCAGTTTCAAATTTAATTTATTTTCTGGTATCGACTTTTGGCATATTTTGAATCGTGTATGCAGGTTTCGAGATTTAAACGCAATGTAAAACTTTCAAAATGACTTCCGTTTTTATAATGATGCATTGTAGCGCCGTATTATACCAAATATCCAAATTGCTCTATATGTCATTTGATATAGCTCAATTTTATATAGCTTGACCTGAATTCTCATATTTTAGACGAATCTCGCGATCAGTTTCGTGCGATATTTCGGATTTTATAGCGTATCTAAGATACACCGCGACCCGACTCAAACGCGTATACACGAGAGATTTGGAAATCTCCTTCGTAAAATCGAAGAAGCATCAACTCCGTCGGATCTCGACGATAGACATAATCCGTAGCAACGGCCATGAAATAACGGCGCTGAAAATATTGCGAAAGCGGATGTTAAACAAATGAAAAGATTTCTTTCCATATTGTTTCCCTCGCATTACCGTACTATTCTCTCAAGCAATAAAAAAGAGACATCTTTGTATGCAGATTGACCAACGCACATACGAAACGTTTCACATTTCAGACATTCAGAATGAAAGCGTCGACTGGAGAATATCTGGCTTATGATTCATATAAAGTTATTCAGAATTCTCGAAAAGCGGGTATTTAATTATTTCTCGTGAATAAACTTCTTCTCTCAGCGAAAATGTCAGAAAAGATTATCTTCTTACAACTTTTCAACTGCAGTATTTTAATAACTTAATCTTAAATTGAAGCTTTTTATTACAGTCTATTTAAAAAAAAAAAAAATTAAACGAAAGAAATATCAAGTAAACTTCAAATAAAAAGGCAAAAGAGCCACGCGCAGTTTTTTGGGCGCAAAGGTATATAATTTAAAGCTTTTTATTACAGTCTATTTAAAAAAAAAAAAATTAAACGATAGAAATATGATATTCCGTTACTTATTTGCTTTCGAAGCTTTATTTGAAAAAATTATTTTAACATCTCGATATTCTCTCTGATAAAAATCGACGCCAAATTGTACGAAGAATGATACTGTGCGTCCAACTTTCACGAGGGAGTAGCTCGCGTAGCGGTCTTTAGTTAAATCGAAATCTTGTGATTCCGGATATGTGTTGATTTCCGGATTTATTTGCCAGGGCATGTCTTCGGATATCTTGGTGCCATGGAAAACCAAGTTCGATGAAGCTTTACTTAAGACCATTCCTTGACCCCCTCGTCTTCCTCCCTCCAATGTCGCGTGCATAACTTATTTGCGCAAAGTACGGCGGATAACGCATTGCGGCAAAGTGCCGTTCATTGCCAAATGCGCCCGTTTTGCGGCAAGTGTGTACATACCGAGTGCTCAAAAAGTATCATATTGCAAAATTAAAATTATTAAGGAAAGAGTCGAATAATTTGATGTAAAAATTTAAGTAAATCTGAAATCTCTGTAATTTATTTAAAAAAAAAATTGTATTACATTTAATCTTGTTTCACGTCTGCGCTACAAATATCTATACGACATTCTTTAGCAAACTTAAATATAATTTTTTTAAATTACATTTAAACTATTACAGGATGTGTGTGTGAATCATGCATTTTTCTATTCCGAGAAGAAAAAAGAAATTTGTATATTTATAATAATTATATTTTTATTTTACATTTATTTAATTACATTAAAAATGATCTTTGAAGCGTATTTATATTAAATACACCGTATATGGAACAATGTGGATTTATCCATAGCAAATGCACATTGTATGCTTATCGCCTTATGTATACCATGTAATAACATACATACGATATATACGTTTCAAAGTATACATATATACAAAATATGCAAATCCATTTTTATGTAGTAAAGGATGGAGGATGATGCGGCAGCCAATCCCGTTGTTGTAGCCAAGTTTTGGCTACAACTCGATTTTATAGAACCGCATAATGCCGCCCCATCTTGCATGGAATTATACTTTTTTAATAGTATACGCGAAATATATATATATAAGATTACAAAAAAGATCGAAAGAATCTTTTATGTATGAAATGTAAAATGAGAGATACTGTCAATACTCTGTCAGATTAAAAGAGTTTCGAATAACTCGATTGCAACACGAAATCGTTGGATTAAACATTAAACGCAAAAATCGGCATTGAATCTTAGTTTTTAATCAAATATTCCAATTTATATTTATTAATTATTATCTTTAATAATTAATTTTATATTTTATATTGCGTGTTTACGGCATTTTTAATTAAATATATATATATATTTTATCAAACTTTGTATTATATTATTAAATTTTTATTAATTGTTTTTAGTTGCTTTAATTACACAAAGATGCATGGTTGTTTTTCCGCGCATTAGTAAAGGGATGGGGGGAGAGTGAAGGAGGGTTTACTCGCTTTCTGACATCGGTCTTAGAGATCACGTACCGAAAATGCTCTCAGAGCAAAGATGTTTCTTTGACGGATCTCAAGACGAGCCAGAGCGGGAAGGAGATACGAGGGAAATGGTGATCGGAGTAGTAGCAAAGTAACGGCCTGGTGCATTGTCCTTGTGAAAGTATCATAAAAGTATTGGGTGACTGTTTTATCGTATCTTCCTGGTTCCTCCCTTGTCCCAGTGAGAATCTGTATAGAAGTCAATACACCGTTAGTACGACGGATCGATCGTCCTTCTCTCTTTCTTTTTCGCGTTTTTCTCTCTCTTTCTCTATGCGAAAAGCTGACGCAGTATGTCGAAGATGCTTCAGCGGATCACGTAAGATAGAAACTCATCTTATAGCTCGTCGTATACCAAATGCCCTGCAAGTTGGATAACGGATACGCCCGGCAAGTTGTTGATACTAAACATGCGCGAGAGACTCTCGATCTAAAGTCTCTCGTGTCTTTATGAGATCCATATGCGACACACAGAACATTTCTGCATACGAGATGCATCTGTTTTGATGCAGACCGTAGATGAGTCTGTTGTTGAATCAATGATAAGGAAAAACGCATGATTTAATTTTTACTCAAGTCAGTTGAAGCTAAGAGTAATATTGTATGGTAGAAGATAAAATAGTTTATAATTAAAATCTCTATAGAACGTAAGAATCATTAAAGTATGTAGATATTAAAATATATTTAGAAGTACATATATATAAATTTTATTGAGAAAAATTACTTTTTTTAATAACCTTAGAATTTTTAACAGAATTATCAATTGTTTAAACAATTATTAACACACAATACACAATGATTTATAAATAATTATTTTTTGAAACAATTAATAATTTATATTACAAACACTAAAAAAAGTAATTTTTTTCTCCAATTTTTTATATCTCTTTTTATTTCCGAATAATAAAATAAAGATGAAAAATTATGTTTAAGCTTGATTTTGCCTATACAGACTGAATTTGAAGAGTAAACTAAAGTACAGTCAATATACTTCTTATATATTACCAAAGTTTCATAAAATTTTTTGAATTTTTAAGGATGATTGTTCTTGACAAATGCGATTTTAAATTAGTATTGTAACTTAAATCTCAAGATGAATAACTAATTATGTATGTACGTTCTTTTTGGATTGCTTCCAGGTGGAGGAGGATTGGAAGTACGTCGCGATGGTGCTCGACCGGATCTTCCTTTGGATCTTCACGCTGGCCTGCGTTTTTGGCACGGCGTTGATTATCTTGCAAGCGCCGAGCCTCTACGATACGACGAAGCCGATCGACATCAAATATAGTAAGATTGCTAAGAAGAAGATGATGCTGATGAACATGGGCCCCGAGGAGGACTAGTCGACGATCCCGCGCGGCCACGTGCCGCGTCCACAGTGTCGGCCGCCTAATCGCCGACGACGGCGTCGTCCACGTCATCACCGTCGCCGTCGTCGACGTCGCCGCCGCCGCTGCCGCCGTCGTTGTCGTCGTCGTCGTCGTCGTCGTTGCCGTCGTTCCCCGCGGCCGCCCATAATCGAAACTGCCGATTTTCGCGTCGACGTGGAAGAGGACCCTCTCTCGAACTCACGCTGGTGCCAAAGATACGTGGTCCCGGACGGATGACACCAAGAAGATGGACACGCAAGTGAGAGGATCAAGCACTGCGACGAGCGGATCACGAACGAATGAAATTTCGCCGGGTAAATCCGTGAAATGGGATACTGTACCCTCTTCGAAGAGGGTAGATCGGTTGAACTTTGGTCCGATCACCCTTCGGGATGGAGATAAGATAAGGGCGTGCGACCGCATGGTACACGAGAGTAAAGGAGCTTTCGTGACAGAGTGAGATAAAGTGAGATAGAGCGCGCATGTGGATGCGTGTGTGTATGCGTATGTATGTGTGTGTTGGAGAGGAAAACGGAGGAAGTAAGGGAAGACAGAACGTCAAAAGGAAGGATAGAGAGAGAATGGGTGCGAAAGTGGGTGCGAAAGAGAGAGAGAGAGAGAGAGAGAGAGAGAGAGAGAGAGAGAGAGAGAAAGAGAGACAGAACAAGCGAGAGTTTGGACGAAAGGAAGAGAGAGAAAGAGAGAGAGAGAGAGAGGTGAAAAAGTGCCAAATACGCGAAAAACACGCGCACCGTATTTTTGTAAATCTGGTTTCATACGTAAGGCTAGAGTCGTGCGGCGAGACGTCGAACTGCCCGAACTGCCGATTTTATATAAGAAGACGTTTACAGCGCGCGAGGAGATGCGTGGTACACCGAGGTACCGATTTCACACGCATTTACATCTATACTTACATATATATATATAATACATTACACACGCGCGTTTGGCGTACATACATATATACACACATACATATACCATATACCATACATATACCGGTATCAACGTCACTCACGCGATATACTTATATATAAACGTATGGACACGCGCGTGCATCTTTCGACGCATTTCGTGGTGTACACGCGCGGAAACATTTTCACGCACGCGTTCGCGTTGACATAGCGAAGGAGAATCTCTATGCGCTTTAAAGAAAGTTTTTTCGGAGAAATTCTCATCCCTCTCGCAGGATTTTACAGATTTTTCTGCAAACTTTCTTATTTATATATCCTGCAAATTTAATACCTTTCATATTTCAACGTGTCTCAAATATTTCCAAAATTACGTACTTTTGCTACAAAATATCCGGAAATTTAATCACGCGGATCTATGGTCGGTCGATGAGATGACAGTCTGGAACATTGCATCTCGATCGATCTGTCGATCCATTTTTCCATGGTATCATCGGCGTTCTTCTCTCGAATAATGATCGCCACTTGATACGGATATCGATATGCCGTTATCGACGCGATTCGAGTAATTTACACGGGCGGTCAATTATCGAAGCAAATTATCCAATTGATCGATTATTCCGACGTATCGAGTGGCCCGGACAGCATTCAAGCAGCTAACGAGAACGGCACGACTACCGGGAATAATTGATTGGCAAAATAATTTTCGCGAAGCATATCCGCTCGTCGGCTTGTCCCATAATTAATGTCATTGATTAATGACGATCTCTGGAACGGGTCGTCGCTCGCGTTTGGGCGCTCGTCCCCCTTCGCCGTAAAACGCGCGCACGTCCGAAGATCAGGGGACGAGAGGGGCCGAAAGTCACGAGAGATGAGCAAACATAAATTGAGCCACAACCATGCGAACAACTGCCAATTTTTAAACGCGGTCGGTCCCCGTTTGAACTACTTGGTCGGCTTGTGTAACAAGAGACGATATAAGTGCGGCGTCGGTGGGATAATACGACGATCGAATAGATCAGATGAATAGGTCGGATAAAAGCGATAGGGTTCGCCAGCGTGCCAAAAAGCGGTTTCGGCCACGAGCCAGCTCGCCCACGTGTCGGCACGAATTCGATCGAAGAATCATTGTTGCCTTTTCTCCCGGTCCTCCGTTATTCTCGAGAACAGAGCTCGCCCCAACGAAAGTCTTGCGAGCGTCTCACGATTAAAAAAAAATAAAATCGAGAACCGATCGTGTCGACGACGATTTATATAATTGTTGAACAAATAATCATGTCGTGCATAAATAATCGCAATGATCGTTTCTAGTCTGTTGATATGTTAATAATGGATTGTATGGCTCGATATTAATATCAATATTTCTTTTGAAGGTGGAAGATTCTCGTATACATTTTTGATAAAAGCCATTTTATTTCGATCGAGTAATTCACACGATAATTAATTTTTATTGCATTAATATAAAACAACTTAATTAAGCGCGAGATATGCGATTAATTATTATTTACGACGTTGAAAAAGCAACAGGCTCTCGAAAAGATATGAATTAACGTTCCTCTACTTGACGCCGTACGTTAATTATCGGCGTAAAAGAGTATCTATATTATCGTCATAAAAAGATGAAATTCAATCTCGTATAAAATTCAGCCGTAAAGCACGAGGATTCAAGCTGGCTCGTTCGGAGTGCGAGTATCAATCGTGGTTCATCTTGTTCATTTCTTTTTCGGCTTTCTTTCATCAATTACGGCGCGCTACGTATTATTTCCTTTTTACCGTATATATATATATATATATATATATATACATCGCGAATTGATACTTGCAAAAATAAATAAAAGAGAAGTAAAAAAAGAGAAAGAGGAGCACCAGGAGACGCAAGAAAGCTCTCGACGTGTTTGCTCGTATCGTCGCGATTGGCTGGCGTAGTCACGTCGAGAGCATTCCGTCGTCGAGGGGGAGGGGGTGTTAACAGGAGCCGAGATGACGAGGCAGGAACCGCGGAACCCATAAAAAGATGAAATTCAATCTCGTATAAAATTCAGCCGTAAAGCACGAGGATTCAAGCTGGCTCGTTCGGAGTGCGAGTATCAATCGTGGTTCATCTTGTTCATTTCTTTTTCGGCTTTCTTTCATCAATTACGGCGCGCTACGTATTATTTCCTTTTTACCGTATATATATATATATATATATATATATACATCGCGAATTGATACTTGCAAAAATAAATAAAAGAGAAGTAAAAAAAGAGAAAGAGGAGCACCAGGAGACGCAAGAAAGCTCTCGACGTGTTTGCTCGTATCGTCGCGATTGGCTGGCGTAGTCACGTCGAGAGCATTCCGTCGTCGAGGGGGAGGGGGTGTTAACAGGAGCCGAGTTGACGAGGCAGGAACCGCGGAACACGAGAAGGATACCAAGGATGAGGATCCACAATAAGAACGCGACAGAAGTTAAAGATGACACGGTTTCGGATAGTTTTACTTCGTTAGAGAGAAAAAAAAAAGCGAAAGAGGGATGGGGGAAGGGAGAGGGCAGAGAGATGGGAGAGGAGACAGGACGTAATTAGAGCCGCTGGAGATTAAACACACACGAGCGCACGCACGTATACACACACATATTTACACACTCGCGCACGCGCTTGACACATACTCATAGGTACACGAGAGTACGTACTTTGTCTAAACATCTATACACACACACACACACACACACATGTATACATACATACGTACGTACACATTGTTTATACGCCGACGAGGAATGAGAGGGGGTTTGGGCCGAGGAGAGCGTTAGAACGCTCGCGTGGCCCCTGCCCGACGATATAATAATCAATTTATTTGCTCACGTAAAAGGTAATAGTATAATATATTTCATATATGTGCATAATAGATGTAAAGAGATGAATTACATTAATTGATTAATTGTACAATCTGCGTGTGAGCAAATGAGAGAGAGAGAGAGAGAGAGAAAGAAAGAGAAAGGGGAACATTTCATTTGCCAAGCCGCGCGAGGCGGCGGTGCTTGTTGACGTTGTGACAGGTGTGACAGAAGGCTTTGGTGTGTCTCGCTGTCGCGTCATGCAGCTCGTCGGATAGGATCAAGATACACGTGTCTTTGTGTGGAAACGGGGAGGAAGGGGGAAAGGGGGGATTAGACGAGTCGATCGAAGAAGGAGCCAGATTGCAGGGGAGCTACCGTTCTCTCGAAATAGCGAGGAAGCAGTTTGCGAGGAGGCTAAATATCGAAGGACGGATAAGGGAAATAAGGAACTAGAAGGCGTGGAAGCTCCGATAACCATCGCTTTTATTCTTGCCGATCGCTAAGGGGATCAACTATCCCTCGACGTGGAAAGAATGGCAGGAGACCTCTCTTCTCGGCGATTAATTAACGAGGCAACCACGAGGAGGACGATGGCAGAGGGCGGAGGGGCACGACCATCGCGACGGGGTCGATGGAACTACGGGTGCATGCACACGCGTGGCGAGAAGAGGGAAAAAGTGAGCGAACCCAATGGCGGGTGAGTCTACAGTGGCTAATAAAATCGCCGATGTCCGGCATCTGTGGCGTCTATCGTGGTCGCGGAACACGTGCAAAAAAGTCGTATCGGGCAGGAATATCGAGATAAACCACGACCAATTTTCAATGACGATGAAATCTTATTTATATACCTAATTATTAAATGGATCTTGAAACTAGATCTCGGACAAGTAAACATAATCGATTGTTCAATTTGTTCTCTCGTATATGGGGCGAAATATTTTCGTATTCGAACATTAGACTAATTGATTGAGATTAATTAATAACGCGATACTTGCATGTAAATGATGAGAAATTTTCTTGGTTCGTAACGGTTATAAAAAAAGATCTGTTCCGCTTTTGTAATGTACAGTTTTTCACATCGAGAGGGATATTAAAGGGATAATCCCTTGCGTGCAACGCGGGGGTTAAAATTACCTCATAGGTTTGCCGCCCTATTCCTTTGACTACCTTTACATCATCAGCGCGATAAAATAATTCTCATCGAAACATTCTTTCCATTTCGTTCCAGCGAAAAAAATTTACTTGCGACACAAATCGTTGATCACTAATCTCGTTTTCTAAATCTGTTGCTGCACTCGCGTGTCCCCCCCCCCCCCCCC